CAGACATGAGTGGAAGAGCACAGCGAGAAACTTATACTTCACATCAGCAGTGACTTTTCCTTTGCTACTTGTGCTGCTCCTTGGGATGAAAACCAAATGTGGCTGCTACATATTAGGTGGGAAGAGTGAGAGTCTCCTTCACTCTACACAGCCGAGCAAAACAAGGTGAACCTCATTTCACGTTGGGTCTCATTTCCACGGCAAGACAGACTGTAAAGCATTTCCTTATCTCAGGCAGCACCTTGCGCTTGGCTGGTCCCGTTGAATTCAGGGGAAGCGGTATAATTCTGCGGGAATGGGCTGAGCTACTGAAAAAGGGTCAGCTGATGTATTTACACATTTTGGGGACTGACCCAGCTCCAGTTAAAGTCAAGGGAAAGATTCACATTGTCTTCAGACAGAGTTCTGCCAGGCTTTTCCCCGCAAGCCAGTCAGCCAGAGATTAGCAGATGCTGGTCTGCGCTGCTAAGAAGAGCTCATCCCTCCTCTGTGTAGCAGTGGGAGTAGATGTCTTCCCCAGAGGATGTAAACCAATGAAAGGACTAAGTCTCTAATATTCATTTCACTTTTATACAAGTGCATAAAAAGGCTTCTACTCTTCCACCTCTCCAACAGGCTGTATATCAGGGCACTCCCACATGAGGCAGAGAATATGGATTTTAGTAGCCTCAGAGGGGGTGCACCGGAAAAGAAAATGTGTCTGTCTTCAACTTCCATATATAAAGTTCATTTAGGGGCCTGTAGCTGTTATCAGTTTGGCCTGAGGAAGCTCATGTGAAAAAAAAACCCATTTTTCACACTGAAAAGATGAGATATGTGTATATGTTCACAATTGCTCAAAGTCCCACCCTACTTTGCAAAGAAGAATTTTTTGTTGGAATTTGATTGTCTTACTGGAAAGCAAAAGGAAAAAGATAAATGATCTAGTCTCCCTTGGCTGAATCCTCAGCAAAGGCAAATTTGCAGAGCTCAGAAAAAGTCAGCCTGAATTCAATCTGTAGAACCTGATCTTTGTTTATATCAAACTGTCGGCTTCTTTGTCTTCAGCGAGGCTGGAAAGGTTAAGTGGTTCATCATTATGCTATCCAGATATTACAGTAATGAAACTATATCAAAACCTATCCATAAACCCACCAAAAATCAAATGAAATGACAACTGAAGTGTTCAGTTCAATCCTTCTACCAGGTTTGCTGCTTTGGCTACTGTTTCACAAGATCTTCTCCAGGGAGAGAAAGAAAGGGGAAGACAAAGCGTGGGAATGCCAAGACAGAAGGTCACTAGGCCTAAGAAAACTAATGTGAAAAACTAAAACTTGTAAGGAGGCCTCTTGAGTTTGGCAATGAAAAAAATACCCAGAAGAATGCAAGCAAAACCAGGCTGGAAGGTGGCGCAATTTTTCATGCAGTATGAGTAATCATTGGATGCAATAAAGCCATGTGTGGCAAGTTTTCCATCAGAAATGACCTAGCACTGAGACAGAACATATTCTGAACGAATCAAAATGAATAGTTATTGAAGAAGTCGGAGTAGGTGATTTCACCTGGTGATGGTCCTAGCCTGACCATCTCTACATCTCAGTGCTTAAAGACCAGACTGACTAATGCACTTGAGTATATGCCTATTTTTAAGCAATTTAAGACAACAGGATGATTCAGTTACACATAATTACCGACATACTTTATGACTGAAGGCATGACAGAGAGAAAGTGGTTTTGGTCTACTAAGGACTGTTGGTACCTTGGGCAATATGCCGTGTGTATATGCAGCCATCACCCTCCTCTGCTGTTTCTACCCCTCTAGAAAAGTCAAGATCCCTGCAATGCTTTGCTTCCCACTGGAAAATCCCACAGCGGGCTTTTGGAGGGCCAGCTTTCTCTGACAGTCAGTCTACATGCTTCTATATGAGCTGAGGGATCCCCATGGTGCCTAAGAACAAGCCTAATTAATTGATTTGGGCAGCTGGGGAGAGGAGGTGTGAGGGACATCTGTAAAGCTACTGCTGCTGAGTTTCCTTGGTTCAGGACAAAGGGCTTGGGCCACCTTGCACAGGTCCTGGGATCAATGAAGATTTAAGCCTGCTACATTTAGTTTTGAAAACCAGCCTCACTTGCCAACTCAGGGTTTCTGCCCCATGAAAACAGGCTGAATTTTTCACCCAAGCAGCAAGAGTTTTCTTTCCCCCCAGGAGTGGGTTTATCAAGAAAGAAGGGCCAAGGAATTCAAGGAGGCTACGGGTGCCACACATCACTCTGTAAACATCACCCAGTGTGTGGTGCATGTTCTGGCTCACACGATGGCTTCCTTGATGCTCATCACATGTATTTTGGCTGCATTGGCCCCCAAATGCTTACTGCTGCATTCTCAGCCTCTGTGGCCCATAGAAATGCCCAACAAATTTTTCAGGGTGGTCATGCTAAACCCAATGGTAATCCAAAACTATTTGAGTTTAAAATGGCATAGAGTTAACACTGTAAGTGAGGTTTCCCACACTAGCTAAAACAAAGTAAAAATGCTATTGCGGAAAAGCCTATAAACAAGTTTTTTTTTTGATTACATATACACCTATACGTATTGGAGTTCCTACTTGACTGGAGCACTGACACATTTGTTGGTGGAAAGCTTAAAATATTTTTGCGTGGCTGGTGCATAAAACGTAATTTTAAGTCTTCTTACTGCAACAGGTAATGCCGAATTCAGAAATTTGGTCCCTTCATCAGAAATGCTGGGAGAGGTCTCTGTTAATTTGTTTTTTATAGCCCTGAATCTGTTGTAGAAGAGGGGTGCCTTTATCCTTTTTCCCTTAAAGGAACTAAGTGCGGTACTTTCTCTTCTAATGAAACACTGTTATTTCTTTGGTTTTGCCCTCTTTTAAGACAGCATGGGGGTAGGACCATTCAGTAAATTGAACTGTTTGTTCCAATCTCTCCTCAGACTGAATGAGCTCAAGGCCCTATCTAGCCATTATACACAAAACCCTCAGTAAATTGTGTATTAGGCCCTGGTATATGAACTAGAACCCAGGCCTCCCGAGTCAAAACTTTATCTTGCAAGTTCAAAGCACAAACAAACCAATTATTTAACCTAACTCAAGCCAACCTAACCCAACCAAACCCACATAAACACAATGGATTTTATAACTATTTCTGCAAACAGATGAATATTAGGAGGGGCATTTTGACTGCATTTCATGTACGTATTTTTTCCCTATGACCTAAAAGGTTGTCCAAAGTGTTGGGTCAAGACAGGTGCAGATTTTGTGAGGGGTATGCTCAGCCTAGTGTGGTGGAGACAGATTTGTTCCACATATTTTTATAACCCTTGGGTATCATGCAGCCATTTACCCTGAGCTGGCATTTAACATGAAAATCCTCTGATGGGGAGAAACACACACAAAGGTGGTAGCCATGGGTCTGCCTGAAAGCACACTGGCTTCCAGGAGCTGTGGATTCTGCAGGACAAAGTCCTGTATTTATACACAGAAGTATTTCTGGATGGACAGTTGAAGCAAACACTTCTCACACAGCTTTCTGCAGTCTTGCCTCAGTTACGACCCAGTGCAAAGCCCCACAGGGTGAGAGGTTAGTTTGAACTCCATGGCTCATTGGGTTCTTGGCTCCTCTGCCAATTAGCATTGGCAGTTATCTGTGGCAGCAGACACCGGGCAATTGTTTATTCCAGTTTATATGTCATTCTAACCATTCATGGACCTTCACAATAAAACCCCATTGCTAAAGAATACAGATCCCAGTGAACCACAGAGGAGAAAAAAAAACAACAGAGGGTCACAGCAATGGGAACATGTCGTGCTGGAGACAGTTCTCGGGGGAAAAGCTGGGAGCAGGCTGCTCTTTGGTATCAACTGAGAGGTGCTCAAGCAGAAAGGTCATTATAACAGCAGGGACAGGACTCAGGGTAAGGATACAGAAAAGCCAGAAGGCAAGGAAGAAACTGGGTGAATGGAAGAGGAAAGAGAATCTTTTTCTGGTGCTGTATGACATAGAGAAACAGGTCCAGAAGGGATCTGCTGGCCTGCTGTGCCCAGTCCCCTGCTATTAGCAGCAAGCAGCTCATCTAATATTATGAATTTATTATGGAGGGTTCCTTTTTTTTTTTTTTTTGGCTGACTTCTGATCACATCTCTTTATTTTGGTGATTTCAATTTCCTTCCTAAATTTATTCATGACTACTGTCCTCTTACGGCAATATGGCCTTTAGATAAACAGCTCTTCTCCCTCCTTAATGTGTGCTCCAGCTGACAACACTGAGTTTGAAAGAGAAAAAAATATCCCAACTCCTTTATTCTCCCCATTTATCATCCCAGTGGGGAAATCTCAGTTGCAGACAGCTAGTGTGGCTACAGATCCAGACGAAAAATAGACAAGGATGTCTACACACAGATTTCCTGCCTAAACTCCTGCAGGGATCTGGTCACTGCAATTAGTGGAGCCCAGAGAACTATCCAAATGCAGGTGCCTTCTTCAAAGAGAGGTGAACAGCTCTCCAGACTCCAGTAAGTATATTAATTAGAGCTCAACTGACGACGGTTGCACTTTACACACGTAGCTCATGTATAGGTACTTACCTGAAGTTAGTTATGTGAATCTGGATCTGACTCCCACCCTCACTGAAGGGAAAGGATTTATTGAATCCCTAAACACAGGACTGCAAGTCTCCTTTGACCAGGATATCCAAGAAACTAGCATGGGACTGGGAGATGGACACAGGACTGACAGGAGCCCCAAAATCTTGTAGAGACCCAGTTGGGGGTTTGACCTCAGAAGGGACAAAATGCCTATAAACTTTTAACCCTCCTAATTTATTTTATGCCTTTTCCACACAAATTAACCTGCAGCAATCATTTTTTTCTTTCTTTCAAGCAAGAAAAAAAATTTGAAGTCTTCCCAAAGTACTGTCTCATGCATTTGCAAGGTAATTTTTGGTGCATTATTGAAGGGGGCAACAGAATAAGGTGGAAACTTCAATGTGCACGACTACTTACTGAACTCACGAAGCAGTGTTCAGATTCTCCACTTTCAAATAGGATGACATCTTTTATGAAGACTGCGATAGCTCTCATTATGAAGGACATGAAGAGGTGCATATGAATGTAATTTCGAGTACAGTGTAGTTTTCTGTCGGGAAGAGATGAAACAACATTTCTTAATAGCAAGGCTTCTCAAAAGCATTATTTATCTATTTACATGTTTCTTCTGCTGAAACACAGACTTACAATTAAACATTAGAAACCCTGAGACAGACTATGTTCTGATGTAAATCACTGCAAATCCACTTAAGCCTTTTTAAATCCACAAAACATGTGGCAATCCATACATCTGCAGCAGTGTAGCAACAGCTTTTCCAATTCTCAGAACAAAAGGTCAAAATACAGAATGACAGACAACAGGTCCACCACACTGCTCTCCACTGGAAAAGGAATGGTTTTGACTGAGCAAACTGCGCTCATGATAAAGGTCTGTTTTCTACAGAATGTTTGTACTGCAATAATTCTTTTCAAAGTGAAATGTTCCTTCAGGAAGAGAAATTCTTAGCAGCTGCTGCCAAAATTAACACATATTACAGGCTTTCTGGAGCAACATGAACTATATTTTCACTTTAAAATGGCTAGTTATTAATGATATTGAGAATAACATCAGGGTTTTTCTGTCCCTTGCCCACTAATAATTTAAAGGTGAATTCTGATCAAGTGGGTCTTTTTTTTTCAAGTGAGACTTTACATCAGCTAAAGTGAAAGGCCTAATACTCTGGAAATGGGTACTTTGTACAGTCATCAGAACCACAACAGACCTCACTCAGCAACATGATCAAATTACCACCGCTCAGTGAGTCACTGTGCATTGGCAGAGTTTATGCTCTTAATCTCTGACAACGGCAAGAAAATGTGACCAGAGTCCTCTGTACTTGCAGGTGAAGGCAAGTCAAATTACGCTGTTTCCCGCAAATGAAGAGTGTTAATCTCGACAGTTTCACCAGCTTGGCTGGCACCTTGTGCCTTGTTGAGATGAGAGAATTTGCATGAGTGTCTGATTCACTCTTCCCTTCTAAAAGGAGTGGAGACAGCATGTGTGCTGAGAAGTGCAAAGATCTTGAAGGGTGAGGCTAGTCTTGGTATGAGCGTGAGAGTTACCCTAGAAGGTGTGCTGCTTCCTACAGCTTGCTTTGGGGGTGATGTCTGGACCAGACTGTCATAAATTGGACAACCATATCACGCATTTCAGGGAAGCCATTAGAGTGGCATGAGGAGATGGAATCACTTCTAGAAGGTTCTTCCGTCTCACAGAGTTCTGCTTTTTGCTGTTCTCCCTATACATAAACAACATTCTAATAGATTACCTTATATACAGACTTCCTTCATTGGAGGCACCCAAATTTAGATGCCTGAATCTATTATAAACAACAGAGACTGAGGATTAATTCATTTGCTGCAATCTAGGCATCTGATGACATTTGATATGCTGTAGAGTACCTGCCCATCAATCCATATGGGCTTGGGTCTCCTGAAGGTCCTGCATCGTATCTGCTACGCTTGTGCACATCTCAGAGGCTCCAGCATGTCTAAAATGGCTCTGGGTGTCTATGTCTTGCCACAGAGCTATAGCAGAAAGTGCTTCTGCAATAGACTTTGGGAGGTAGTTTTGGGGTGTGATTCACCTGTACCATTTTGAATACCTACTGTAGTAGAAATGCATCACTCCATAGTATCCATATAAACCATACCGACTAGGTCTCTGTGGACTGTAACAAGATTATGGAATAATGGCCTCCAATACAGAGATCCATCACGTAACAATGTACATTTAGTGAGATGAATCCCACCTAAATAATTGGATTGGGGTTATAACTCTCACACAAAGGCCACAAATCATACACCAGAAAACCGTGGTACCGAAAGATGGAGGAACTTTCCTCCCCTGTCCCCTTCTGACTTGACCGAAGTCTTTTCCATCCACCTGTAATGCTCATAGCCTGTAACTTAAACAGCCACTAAGTCCTTTGAGTCACCCCCTTACCTATGCCTTTTTTCCTCATGGACTTACCTGAAGAGACATAAAATGATCATAGCAGCCGTGAGAGCAATGAGCGATAAGGTATGTCCAATGGTGTAGCCAGTCTTGACTGTGCCATAGAACGCCGTTTGCTAATGTGAAGGAAAGAAAAAAACCAGGTCTTTCAAAGAGCTGCCAACATGCATTCCTAAATACACTATCACTGAGCTTTTACTGACTTTCTTGGTGAGACAAGAAAATTATCTACTCCATTGTCTTAAAAAACCTCCAGCTCCTTCACCCTTTAAAATCACATCCAGTAGAGTACATGACTCAAATACCACCGATGTGAATACGAAGAACATGTCCGGTTGCAGTAGAGCTTGGATCACTCTAAAACCAGGTTACAACTACACAAGGGAAAAGTTCATGCAGGAAGGAGTCTGATTTGACACTTGCAGAGACAGCTACATGGTTATAATCTTGTGGAACAAGAATGACTAATGTTCAGTTAAACAGCACACTGACACGTCGTCTCTGAGGTGGTGAGTATGACGAGCTTCATCTTATTAAGGAAGTTTGAGCACAGAACTGGTCTGGAAATTGGTTTGCTTTTGTGGAAGCTAGACATTGTGTTTCAGCAAGGAAAAACAAAATGTTCTCCCTGAAATCACAGATATGTTAAGTCAGAAATATATGTTATGTTGGAAATTAGTTCATGGCTTTTCTCTTTGGCAGCACACAGAGGGAATCTCTGAGCATAAGGCACCATGGGACTTAAATCCAAAAGGGAATCCTGGTCTAAATAAAATGGGGAAGTAAGGCAACAAAACTCCAGCTCTCCTAAGGCTCTGCAGCAACTCTCTAAATCAATATATTTTGATTTTCAGCTTAAAAAAAGGACAAAAGATCAGCTGGTATTTGGACATTTGTTTTATCGATGAAAAATCCAAGTTTTTATGAGAGTCTAACTCAGTTTGTGGAAAATCTTATTTTTCCAGCCCTTGATTGACCCTCCTCTGCTCTCCTTGTCACCATTTTCTATAAAAAACCCAAACAACCAAAACCGCAAAGAGCAGTTTAGACAGAAAATCTAAACCCAACCTTGTCTGGGAAAACACTCTTTAATAACAGCACGGGTTGACATTTTTATATGCTATTTTCATAGTCCTTGACAAGTACTAGGTACTTTACAGAACCAGTGAGGCTGAGACGAGTAGTAATCCTCTAGCATTTGCACAAGCCAGCTTGGAGTTAAAACAAGACAGAGCTTTCAGAGAGTGCAAAGGTTACATTGGTCATATCTATATTGCTTCTCAGACCACAGATCTCAGAGATGGCCAAAAACATGGTGTCTTCACAGTCCCATTCAATGAATCCACCTCACTAAGAGCTTTGGGTCAGTAACTCTGAATACATAATTCATAGCAAGGGTTTCAGGCAAATTTATTTACCTGATCTCGCCCATATGATGCCAGGAGGCTGCTATGGTGATGGAGTCACCCAGTATGGTATGGTCATGCCTAAGCTTCTCTCATCTACACTGCATGGAGGGACTTGCACCGCAGTAAGGAACAGCTTTCTACCTTTCTACCCCACTGTCTTGCAGATTCCACCCAAAGCTAACTAAATATAGCTTTGTTTCCAGTCTTGTTTGAGTTTGGACTCCCAAAGGCAGCTGAGACTTTCCCAATAAAAGCAGTCAACTTCCTTCATGTTGATTTCATCTTTGTCTCATCATCTAGTTTCCTTCTTGATGGCACCAGAGCAGAAGTGTTCCAGGAAAGACCTGGCCAGCAGAAGGAGGGAGCTTGTGGCAGGGGACTGAGTCTGAGGAAGAGGTTGTCTCACACTATATTTAGGAGAGCAGAGAAATGGGAGAAAGGAAATTAAGAGATATCATAGAAGATGTCAGTAGTGGGGTGGTGGATGGAAACTCTCCAGTGTGCATACAGGTATAGGCCTTTCGCTTCTTAGAGTTATTCACAGGAGCAAGTTATGCACATAAAGTTCTTGGTGTTGTTCAACAAACAATTCCCTGCCCTTATATTTTACGATGACCAATCCTTCTTCTGTACAGAGAGACGGCTCTGCAGTCAGCTTTAATGTAGCATGTGGGGTCATCTCTGTTCTGGAAACAGCACATAATGGCTTCTCACTCTTCATTTGTACTTGCTAATGACAATCGCTTCCTATTTTACAGATATCAAAGCAGAGAATTTGACCCAAGATCATAAATGGAATTGGAATTTCACTCAGAGCTCAGATTATTAAAATATTCTTATTAGGAAAAAGAAGGATTTAGAGAAGTGAAGGAAATGCATTCCAGGATGCCTGGGTTCTAGCTAGACTGATTTACAGACTGAAATTAGGCAATTTCATCATTCTCTCTAACTTCTAAAAGCCTCTGCTTAATTTCACAGGAACATTATAAGAACAATTAGTTAAGGTAGATGCTAAACTAAGATTAACTGAAAATTAGCTTCCTTGTTTTCTGTTCAGTAACCATATATTTGTCCCTTGGTAACTGAGATTAGAATGTGAAACATTTACATTTGTAAGAGAAAAAGAACAGAAATACTGATACCAAGTCTTCCAGTAGCCCCGCAGCCAAACATATTTTGGGTTCAAGTCACCTAGCCTAAAGTCATCTGGGCTCCCCCCAGTGTAAATGCAAATAGGTCCCTTTGGAGAGAAATGTGGGGTGAGCTGACCTCTGGAGATGTCTATTTTCTTCACCATCTTCCGACAGAGCCTATAGGGATGCCTGGGGTGGCCCCTCTCTGACCAGATGGAGGCACACAAGGGGCAAGTTGTGCATCACGTCTGACAACAGGACAGCAAAACACCCCACCCCACCCCCATTTGCTAATATGTGTTTTTTAAAGGTCAGGTAGGAGAAGGAATCATTATCACTGCAAAGATCGTAAGTGCACTACTTTGTTGCCTACATCATCTGCTTCTTAGGGACTGCCAGAATTCACAACTAAAATCTTACACACACGCCCTTATTTATTTTTCATATTTTTCTTGTTGTTTCTGACTTGAGACCAGCAGGCATTAAAAGTGCATGAAGTGTTTTAAGCGTGGAAGGTTATCAGTCTGTTCTGGACCTCATGTCCCATATAGCCTGCTGTTCTTTTTTTGTATTCCCTTTACTTCTTCCTCCCCAAACTGACAGCCAATTCAACAACAACAAAAATCTATTCTTCTTCAGAGGCTAGCACTGCATGTTCACCCCCCTCAGCCACCTTTCACACAAATTAGACTTAAACAGCATGACAAAACCGCGGAAATCGAGAGAAAATAATTAAGAGAGAATTAAAAGAACACAATACATGTTCTCTTGGTAACGAGGCACTCTGGCAACGCTGCAATCCATTGCGTCGCCAAAGCATGTCCCAGGAATTCCCAAATCCCCTTTGCAGCTGGAACATAAACCAGAGCTCTCAATGGAAGACCTTCCCAGAGCAGACCCGTAATAATGGCTTTCGCGATGCGCAACTGGTGCCACATAGCTCAGTCTGAGAAATGGGCCACTTGTGGGTCTGAAGTCACGGCTGACCTAAAAGGCAGCTAAGGGTCTCTCTAGTAGAGCCCTGAAATCCTTTGTGCAACTTTCCCTTTGCTATTTTCTGTATTCTTTCACTATTAAGGCTGGCTCAGTTCTGTTCAGATTCTCCATTAAGTCTCTGAGGGCCTTGGTAATGTGTGACCTTACACAAAGACCTGTCACCATATGTATTTATTCATTATCAAGATTCCTATGTCCAACATTCACAAACACTGACATACATCATACAACAGAAAAAAAGCATGGGCATAGGTTTAACATAAAGATATGGCTGCAGTGAAATACAGTTCTTTTCTAGCACAAACTTTTTCTTGTTGACTATGGGACAGCTATATGTGACTAGTTTACATTAGATGTTGAACTTTTACTTAGGTGAGGTGAATCCTGCTCGTAACAACACTTGTTACCTTCTTTAGACTTTACCCTCCATGTCTCAGCATGCAGCAAACCAATAACAAACTCCTTCCTGTGTACTGACAATAATCTATAAAGCTAATTATACCTAGGTCAGTGATTACTCATTTACACACAGGCAGTATCCCAGAGAGCTTGTGGATTTCTTTACAAAATTCAGTAGCATTCTGTGAAAATTTTTGTGTTCCCTACAGTTTTCTAGATCTTTAGCTGTTAAGCAGCACTGATGGCAAGTGAGTTGTATCCTTTTATGCCTTTTGATCTTTTGGTTCTTATGTTGGCCTAGAAATACTGGAATCACTGTGTCTACTTAAGGATAAATATAAATGTGGAGGGCTTGTTTCAAAGTTGAACATGGAAAACCAAGCACCTGAAGTTATCTTTGGGCATCACAAAGACACTGGTCTGATCTTCTTAGTTGCTGATTTCCTGCCAACCCCCTGGAAATCAAAGGATGATCGTCTCTTTGACCAGACATTTGATCTCTGCTTCCAGGGATCCTCAAGAGGATGCTTCCTTCTTGAGGAATCAGAATGGGAATGGAAAAAATTGGGCACAGGAAGATCATGTGATTCTGGTATTGATCCCTGGTAAATCTTGACGTCTATCCATCCAGGTTTACAAACCTCTTCCCCTGGAGTGCTGTTGGAATCATATCCACAAGCTACGGTATACGGTGCAGGGTACACGTCCGTCCAGCCCTGGCTTGTACAATTCCTGGTCACGTTCCCTGGAAGAAAAGAAAAAAGGATGACTTAAAAAGAAACATTCAGCTTGCTGTTAAACAAATGTCTGCCTTTTGTTGATTCAAATGCCAGAGCACATTTCTTGTAACACTGAAGAGTAAAATTCTCATACTTTTTCTCTGTTACAAAGTGTTCATATTACAGAGAACACACAAATGGGAGGGACTCATTGGGTCATAAAGTTCAGACCTCAAAAACAAGTACATTTTAATACTGAGGTGCCCACAAAGCATCTCTTCTAATGGTACCATAATGCCAGTTGTACCCAGACCTTTGGTTGTTGACATTGCACCAATATTGTTTGAGTGTGTTATTGTCATATTGCCTTTGTTCCTGGAAAATTTTTCATCTAAACAGAGCAGCGAAGTATTTACGTCTTTCACTTTGCTTGCGAGAAGCCAAGACAAGGATAGATGAAGTGCTCATTTCACATTACGCAGGTAAGGTCAGAGGTCTTGGAACTGAATGCAGTCCTCAAACCCCAGACCTTGCCTACAAGATGAGCCCCGATCAAATGTGATTCCTGGAAAATCTACTGCACTCTTATTTGAAAACCAAACGCTTCAAAATTTGGCTATGACGGGAGAAAAACCAGATACTGACAACCTGTATTGCCTGTTTTAACATGTATACTCAAAGGCAGGAAGATTTCCTGGACTCTTAAGCAAGTTGAGTGCTTAGGGCCTCCAACCAGCTAAAAAGCGCCTTAATTAACATAAGAACGTTTCTCTCTTTCGGCCCAAACTGACAGAACTGTGAAGTTCGCATGCCTCTCTGGTACTCTGCGCTTCCTGGTCCATCCAGGATTGTAAGGGGGCCATCCAGTGCAAAAGCATTTCTCATTTTGTAAGACATCTCTGCTTCCAGTCCCAGCTGGACCTCAAACCCATGTTGGCTAGGGGCTGTACAGACATTAATCAAGCAAAAGAAGGAGAGACCAGCAATCTGATTAGGATAGGCCTTACCCTAAAACAGTCATAGCCTAAAAGGCCAAGATAGATGTTTGTCAGACAGAAATAACAAAGAAGCAATACCTCTAACAGTACACTGGAATTCCCTCAGCACCCACTCTGACCACTGGTCCCTACCCTGTCCATCTCATGTGAATCACATCACTATGACATTCCTTCGGTGTCATTTATCACACAAAACTGCCTGCCATCCCTGGCTGGAAAGCTGGTACAATAAACCAGAATGAGCAAACAGTAGTCAAAACTTGCTTCTTAGATGAAGAACTACATCAGTGAAACTCGAGCTTTGCAAACATTTCCAGCAATGGGGTTCTTTGCACACAGGAATAATAAAACCTCTGCAAACAGGAGCAAATCAATTATGCAGCTATGAGTCATGAAAATATTCAATCGTCACCTCCAGGAATTTCTGACAATTGAGTCAGCTGAACAGCTTCCTAACCATAGACCTGTCTTGCACTGAAATCAGCAGCAGCCTATGCCCCGGCTTAACTCATTTCTTGAATCCCTGTGACAGGTGGATTTTGACACTGAAACTTGCCCCTGTAATTTGTCTTTACAACAGATCTAAACTCTGGTGCCTTTGTTCATTTTAACAGCTGCTCCAAAAGAAGTTAACTTTAGCCCAGTTTGGTGGGTTGCTGTTCCCCAGGTTTTTTCTGCCCCGTCATTGTTTGCATTTCTTTTTACCACAGTTCATATCGGGATCATAAGAGATCTTGTGCAAACAAATCAAGGACATAAATGTTCAGTACTTTCTTTTTTTTTTTTTTTTTTTTTTGAGGTGTTAGTAATTTCTGTTATTTCTTCTTCATTACAATGGATCCCATTATGTGAACTTTTCTGCTTCCTATTTCCTGCTCAAAACTCCTCCTCTCTGTTTGGGGATGCCTTCAGTTTTCACTGTGGTTTTGATTCTTTGCTTCTTACTCTCAGTGAAATAAAGGGTGCTTCTTTTAGCTTAATTTTCTCATGTTTCTCTTATTTCTTCTTTTTAAGTGCACGTCCTCACAATTGTTCAATTCTTTTGTAATTCTTCTCACTGCTCTCAAGAACGCTTTCAAAAGTTGTCTTAATGCTTTAGCAGATGTGGAAACTAAGGTAGAGGGAAGCACAATGATACAGCATTGCTGGTATTAAAAAATAATAATAAAAATGTCCCTGATTTTAGGGAAACTCATTTTGCAGAGAAGTTCTTCTACCACACTTTTCTGCTCATGTCACTTTTTGATGCACAAATTCACACACACGGCATGATACAACAAACCTTCCTAATAAATCATGTACTGTACTAGATGTCTGGGAGGTGTAAAAAGTACAAAGAAGGTACAGATTTTACCACACAACAATTTTGGCTCAAGTGATGGAAGATATCTCCGCTCAGAGCAAACAACTTTTCTAATTACTGCTACTTACCAGATTACTTTCTATACTGAAAATGAACATAAAATTTGGAAAAGCGCCTTACAAGCTTAGTTCTTACTCTGAGGTTTACAGGCAGCAAACTTTAGACTGAAGTATTAAACTGAGATTTTTATGTTACAAGCTCTGCCACAAAGGTCCAGTGAAACTGCAGCCAATTCTTGCGATCTCCCTGGGTCTCAGTTTCCCCACCAACAGTAGGACTTTGGTAATAAAGTCCGATCTTCTGCCAATGGGAAGGCAAAGTGTTCAAAGCACCAGATGTTTTATAAGCTGTTTTCCAGAACTATTTCCCATTAACTTGTGTTTCTCACTGCTTTGCGTAACACACATTCTCCCTAGAATGGTGGACTAAAGAATTACATCGAAGCTGCAAAACCTGAGTGGCAGTATCAGAAAAGACAGAGCTTCTGGACTTGGAAATGGTATCTCCACCCTTTGAATGTTCACAAGGTTTCCAAAACTCTCCCATTTCCTATCAGACTGAAACTAAATGTTTTTAAACTGTATTCCTGGAGAATTAATGAGAAAGGAGACCAGGGCTTTATAACTTGGTAACAAGTAATTAGCAATGCACAGTGGAAGAGATTCACTGGAAAGCATCCTACTGCCAGTAGGTTTGTGCTCCAGGCTCTCCTCTACGTTGTGGAAAAAGGAGGTTCAAGTCCCTGGTGTGAACAGTGTCCCCTCGATAGGGTAGTATTAGTTAACAGCCATGAAATAATCTGCCTTTTGTGGGGTTTGTATTTCATTTTGATCAGAAATGTTACAACGGTCAAACCAGTGCATCTACTCCTAAAAGCCACATCCATTTCGATGAGATGAGGTTTTCCATTTAAAAAATATAGATGAAAAGTTTCATTTGAAAAAGGCACAACTAACTCTTATTTACAGTAACAATAACCTCATAACATGTCTTACCAGACCTTAGCTCTCTGCTTTCACTGAATCTCAGACTGATGGAGGTTGAAAGGCACCTCTGGAGGTCATCCGATCCAAACCCCCTGCTCAAGCAGGACCACCTACACCTGGTTGCTCAGGGGCATGTCCGGATGCCTTTTGGATATCCTTGGAAATCTCCAAGGATGGAGACTGCACAGCCTCTCCGGGCAACCTGCGCCAGTGCTTGGTCACCCTCACAGTAAAAAAGTTTCCTTATGTTCAGATGGAGCCTCCTGTGTTTCAGTTTGGCCATGGTTAGAAAATGCAAAGGCGATGAGAAAGTTGAAGAGGGTCTCATTACTTCAGAAATGCATTCAGGAATGGGAGCCTTGAGTGTAACAGAAGTCCTCTTCTGGGTGCTGTCAGGAGCACAGAACAAAATCCCCGGTTCCTATTTCAGGGTTGCACAATCTCTTCAGAAGCACCAGGCGTACGGTCCCACGAGGATGGGATATTGGTTATGAGATGCTGCAGTGACATACCGCTCCCCAGCTCATCCCCAGCAACTCTGTGTGCAGCAAGAGGAAGTAAGGCAACTAGGCTAAACTCTTTTCATTGTAGTGTAAATTAAGTGAAAACTCTCCACGGCTGCCAAAAGTGTAAATCATGCATGTTGGGAGCTATCCTGGCTCAGCAGACGCACAGTAATTGCTAAGGTGCAATAACTTGACTGTGTATCTGAGTCCTGAGCAAAGCATCACAGGGAGACAATTTTTGGGATCTCAGCACCCCAGCCCTTTCACTGCTGTCTTCTCTCTTTGCAGATATCAGGACAAAGGAGTTTAAAGATGAGGTTTTAAAGGAAACAAGGTGAAGACCTTTTCATAAGTCTCCCTGCCAGCTAACGGGGGATGGATGTACAAAGGGAGAGAAATAACAGTGCAGAAATGAAAGAAAAAAAAAAGAAGTTAGTGCTCTAGATGTGGCAAATATAATGTGCAGAGCTAATCCTTACACAAGCTAAAGAAACTATAGCTACTGCTGGAGAACCAGGATGTGAAACTAAGCAGTCAGCTTTCCAAAAGTATGCTGTGGTATAAAAGCCACTGCTTACAGAACAGAATTACAAGTGTAAATATGAGTCTAGACCTTTGGCTCATTTATATCAGTGTTTATGACAGTCAGTGCATGAAACACTACTGAAAGGCAAAGGGTGAAGCCGCAGGCCCGAAAAACCAGTTTTCGGGAAGTTTTACAGCAACAGTGCCTTAAAGGCTCACGCATAGCATGACGGGCCATAATTGGTTTAATCAAATCACCACATTTCTTAGTCCAGCCCGAGTCATGAGCTCTGCCTCTTCTTCGCAGATGTATTGACCACGGAACTACAAACGTGTTAGTGGCTTCAGGTCAAGCCCCAGAGAGACCGGCAGGATCTCTCCCAAGCTCAACACCAGCCGGTCTGCAGCACGCGAAACGCTACCCAACTGCAAGGTAAGCAGGCAGGGTGGGCCACCCAAGTCAATGTAAACTGCCGTATACATTGATATAAGTACGTATAATAAAATACAGCTCTTCTTCGTGCGCTACCTCTGCCTGTATTCCTTGAAAATCCGCTTGCAGTGTGCCACAGTGACTGACGATCACGTACACGAAGCACGAGGAGGGGTTGCACTTCTTCTGTACGCTTTTGCGTCTTTCTAGTATCG